ACTGCCCTCCCAGAGCCAGGGAAAGAACCCAGGAGTCCTGGCTCCCAGCCCCCCCCCTGCTCTAACCACTAGACCCCACTGCCCTCCCAGAGCCAGGGAAAGAACCCAGGAGTCCTGGCTCCCAGCCCCCCCCCTGCTCTAACCACCAGCTCCCACTCCCCTCCCAGAGCCAGGGAGAGAACCCAGGAGTCCTGGCTCCCAGCCCCCCCAGCCCACGCTGGGAATGAGCTTCTCCTTCGTTTGGGTGGGGGCATTCCTGGCTGACCCTTTTCTCTGGGTTTCTAGGTGGGAAGGTGACCCATGCGCTGTGCCCCAGGTGTGATCTCTGACACACACACCCCGTCCACACCCTGAACCGGCCCGCGTCTGCCATGGAACTGCAGAAGATGGAGGAGCAGGAGGGGCTGGAGATGTTAAACGGGTCTGTCCCAGAGTGTGACAAAGCCAGCGGCCTGGAAGATGGGTGAGTATCAGGGGGCCGGGGGGGCGGGAACGGACGAGGGTATCGGGGGGCTAGTGGGGGGGAGTAATGGAGGTATCTGGGTGAGTAACCAGGGCTACCGGAGGCATCTGGGCGGGCGACCCCTGCAGTCGGGAAGGGGGAGGCTCTGGGGAAGGGACCCAGGCATCCGAGCTCGCAGCCCGCTCACCCTGCGGCCCTTCCCCTTGCAGGGACCCCGCAGCGGAGGTGACGGCGGCCGAGCAGGAGGGCTTCCTGCCCCACACCACCAGCAAGAAGCTGAGCCAGTTCACCGACGTAAGTGGGACCCAGGCGTCCGGGCCCCAACGCAGAGCTGATCCCAACCCCCGGCAGCCAGTCCTTTGAGTAGTCCCTCGCCTCTTTGACCCCTGCCCTTTGACATTTCATTGGACCCTCGCCCGATGTCCCCTTTGACCCCTGCTCTTTGACCTTTCATTGATGCCACACCCCATGGCGCTTTTAACCTCTGACCCTCACTGTCCTTTGCCCTTTGACCTCGGAGCTTGCCCCTCCTCTTTTGCTCTTTGACCTCTGACCCTTGCCTTCAGCTCTTTGCACTTTCTCGTTGCCCTTCCTCTTTGGCAGCCCCGTTGTCCTTTGACCTCTGACGCTTGTCCTCGCCTTGAAGTGGTTTGATCTTTGACCTCCGATTTTTGCCCTCTCCTCGTTGACCTTTGATCTTTGGTGTATGACCCGTGCCCTCCTATTCATGCAATGTGTTCTTTGGCCGTTGTCCGCTCCGTTAATTGCTTTGTTCTTTGACCTCTGACCCTTGCCCTTTCCTCCCTTGCCCTTTGACCTCTGCCCTCCCCCAGGCTCTCACCCCGCCCCGTCTCTCTCTCTTACCCGCAGTTCGAGGGGAAGACGTCGTTTGGGATGTCGGTCTTTAACCTCAGCAACGCCATCATGGGCAGCGGCATCCTGGGCCTCGCCTACGCCATGAGCAACACGGGCATTGCGCTCTTCATGTGAGTGCTGCCCCCACAGGGCACTGCCCAGGGGAAGATCGCCATGCTGGGGTCACTGCTGCCCCCACAGGGCACTGCCCAGGGGAAGATCGCAGTGCTGGGATCAGTGAGATATACTCCTCCTCCACCAGGCAGCGCCGATGGGTGGGAGCTATAGCAAACGGAGCCAGGACTCCTGGGTTCTCACCCTAGCTCTAGGAGGGGAGTGGGATCTAATGGTCGGAGGGGCGGGGGGCTGGTAGCCAGGACTCCTGGGT